CCTGTCACTCCACTGAGGCTCTGGACACCATTGCTTCGCCTCTCTCACCCCACTCCTTTATTTTATTCATCACCACATGCCTCCACTTCCTTTTATTTATTATTATTATTATTATTATTTTATTTTACTTTTCTTCTTTTATTTTTTTATTTTTTCTTTACATGCCACCCCACTCGTTGTCAGACCATGCCCCCAACTTCACAAAGACATCTTTCAGACCATGCCTCCACTTCATTTTATTTATTATTATTATTATTTTATTTAAAAAAAAAAAAAAAAAAAAATTCATTCCAGTTTACTTTTTCTGCTCCGTCTTGTCCATTCACGCCATTCGGCTTTTCACAATACACTCATTTTATTCATATCGGGATCAACCCCGATCCATATTTTACAAAAAAAAAAAAAAAAAAAAAAAAAAAAAAAAAAAAAAAAAAAAAAAAAAAAAAACAACAACCACAAAAATCCACAAAACAAATATCACAACAACAACAGCTTTGTTTTCTTTTCTGCAGACGGCCACCCACCGACCTACTCTGCCGCCGGTCTCTTTTTCTTGCCTCCGTCTTGGACAGCCTTTGACAGTACTGCCTCCGTGCTTCCTCGACCACCACGCCAGTTGCCTCCTCCCTGCTCCTCCACTCCCGCATATGGCGGACCTCCGAATCGGAACATCACGGTGGCCTTCTGCTTCAGCTCCTTGTTTTCTGCCTTCAGCACACTTATCTCTGCTCGCGCATCCTTATACATGCGTTGGAGCAGAGCCAGCTGGGAGGTTAACTGCTGCACCTCATTTGTCCTACTCTGCAGCCGGTTCGACAAATTAGTGACCGCCGTCATGGCCACCGCACCAGTTATTTCTCTTGTGGGCTCGTTCAGTTCTGGAAAGAGCGTGAGCAGGTTCTGGGTAGCTGGACGGGAAGAAGATGCCATGTTTTGAGTTGCTACGTGTTTCAGCGCAGGGTTTACTGAGTGTTTCAGACTGCCAAAATTCAGAGGTTTTTCGCAGCTTTTCTCTGCCTCAGCCTCAGCTTCCGTCTTATAGCCGAGGCAGCCACGCGCATCGCGCGCCTCTTGCCACCAGCCGACAAAATGGCACGCCTTTTCATGGCACATCTTTTGACAAAGTGGACACGCCTTTTGATGGCACGCCTTTTGATGGCACGCCTTTTTATGGATTGGGCACGCCTTTTGATGGCACGCCTTTTTATGGATTGGGCACGCTTTTTGATGGCACGCCTTTTGAAAAATTGAGCGCACCTTTTGAGGATGCGATTTTTTATGGGTCCGACAAGACTCTGTAAACTGTCCCGACATAGATTCCGGTTAGTTTCTACAAGGGTCCAGCAAGACTCCGTCAACTGTCACCTAAACTGTCTTCTACAACGGTCCGACATGACCCCATAAACTGTCTTCTACATCGGTCTGACACCCCCATCCAGTGTCCTCTACAACGTTATGACACCACCATACAGTGTCCTCTACCACGTTATGACACCACCATACAGTGTCTTCACCACTTCACCTAACCCACTATCTCCTCCACTACACCTACTACCACATTTTCTTCTATATATAGATTGTATAGGAATTGTAATTAATCAATCTTGTAATACATCAATACATCAATCAATCTTTACCTTCACTTACTCCACTACACACTCCACTTCACCTACCTCCACTTCACCACACACTCCACTTCACCTAACCCACTATCACCTCCACTACACCTACTACCACATTTTCTTCTATATATAGATTGTATAGGAATTGTAATTAATCAATCTTGTAATACAACACAAATACAATCAATTTTATACATTGTATTTTAACAAATATCCTTTCTACATCTTCAAATTTACAGAAAATGTATATTTTTTATTGTTTCTTTCTCTATACCTTTCTTCCCCAACCATTAGCGCCTCCTCTCTCCCTTCCTTCTTCTTTTCATTTTTCGATTCCGCCTAATCAACCTCAATTGTTGTGGCTACCGCAGTTTCCCCCATGACTGCCACTGGTGACCACCCTTACCCGTCTCTCTCCTCCCCTCAAACCAGCACCCACATCCATTGCACCTTTGCAGCCTTCGAGTCCACCACCTGCACGCCCTTCGCGTCGCTGTCCTTGACTCACCCAGTCAACCCAGACACATACACAACACCAACTTGATCTTCTCATCCACGACCCATCACACTGATACACACACACGGCAGAAATCTCTACCAATCAATGTCTCTCACAAGCAGTAGTGTGTTCCATTCACCATGGTGGTTTGTGGTTGAGTTGTGAAGTTTTAGAGTTTTTGCCGGCGTTCTGGATGGTGGGTGCAGGTCAACTATTTTGCCCAGTGGGTCTATGTCGCCGGCAAGTCTACATGAAGTTTGAAGGTGGTATGGGCTCTTCTTTGTCGCTGGTATGGGCTTTGCTCTGGCACTGGTTAGTTCGTTTTGCTGGTGTCGTCACTACAGAGAAGTGTATCAGCCCCCTGGTTTTGAAGTTCTCGCCTTTGTTGGTAAGCGGTGTTGCTGGGCCATGGTCATGCATTTCGGCCATGGTGAGTTTCTTGTTTCTTTTCCGGCGTCGCCGGTGATGAGGGTGTGAGATGGGGTCTTTTTACCGGTGCCATCGTTTTCTATTTTCGGCGAAGGATGTCCCCTTTTGGGTTCTATTCTCGGCTCCGTTCCAAGTTGATTGCTTCGGCTTCGGTTGTGCTGCTAGTGTATGCTTTGGTGACGATGCTGGCAGCTGATGGCGCGTGAATTGGCATTGGGAGTTCACCCATGTTGGGTAGAGTGAACAGCTGCAAAGCTGTCTGTTGGGTCTCATTGCCTTGATTAGAGTTATGGAAAAGACAAAAAAGGGTTGGTAAGTGGAGGAGCTATTTTGGGATATAGTTTGAATAGCTAAACCGTGGCTTCTTCAGCACATGGTTTTGGTATTATTTTGAGGTGGGGCCTTCGTGTAGCTCAATTACTGGGCTGTTTTTGACTCTATCTCAGTTCCTTTTTTCTCTCCACCAGACCCACTTTAATCATATCCACCACCATTCTTTTCTTTATCACACTTATCTTTATATCTTTTTTAAAGATATATCTTTTTTTTTTTTTTCTCTCCACCGCATATGCTTTCTCCCTTAATTTCTTATTCTTAGTATTATTATTATTATTCTTATTCTTATTCTTATTATTATTATTTTAGT